AAATTCTCTTTTCCGTTTCATGATTCAACCGGATCACTGAAACAACTTGCGACGAGACATAGCACAAGATTTTCTTATCGAAAGAAAAAGTTTTCTTAGTAAATCGATAAACGTCCATTCACTTTTTTACTTTAGCCGAGAAGATAGAAATACCAACAGCGCAGAACGAGTTAGAATCATCCACAATATCCAGTAAAAATTATTCGGACAATATAGAAGCGGCGAAGTCATCTACTAGTACAGAAACAGTCGTGAAAGTGGACGAACAAGAACCTCGAGATACTTCCGTGGGTGGAGCAAATGAAAATACGCGATCTGAAACACAACCAGAACACGAAAAAGAAATATTGGCACTGCCAATGATCACTGAGCTTTACCAAATACCCTTTGATGTCCCAAGGCCGTGCTCATTTTCAGTGTCGACGATTGTCGGGGCTCGTGGCAAAGGTGGTCAGTACGATCAGCTGGATTATCCTTTTGACATTTTCGGTACGAAGACGTGCCACGACATCTATGTGGCTGACTCGTGCAATTCACTTATTTTGAAACTGTCTGGACTCAAAGTTTGTGCGATTGCTGGCGGTGAAAGTCCTGGTTCTGCAGCGAATCAGCTAAATTTTCCGATGGCGATGTTTGTCGATGAAAAACGAAAACAAGTATTCGTTAGCGATTTCGAGTATGACCGGATTCAGAAATTCTCTCTGAGTAACATGAATGGCCATGGTCAAACTGTGATTGGGCAAAATGGTGAAGGCGATGGTCTAGATCAGTTCAATCGGTGCTACGGTCTGTTCGTAGATAAAGAAGGACAATGGATTTATTTGTCCGATTACAGGAATCATCGTGTTACAAAATGGAAAAATGTCGAAGACGGTAATCATAGTGAGAGTGTTCTTGTTGCTGGCGGACATGGCCAAGGTTCATCCTCGAATCAACTGAACTACCCAAGAGACATATGCGTCGACGAGAGTGAAAATAACATTTATATTTGCGATTATTTTAATCATCGCGTCCAGCGCTGGTCACTGGACGATCTAGAAGCAGGCGGTGTCACTGTTGTCGGGGGTCATGGAGAAGGTTTCGGTTTGGATCAGCTTAGCTATCCAATGTCGATCACACTGGACTCTTCAAACAAAGCGTTATATGTTGCTGATAGTGGAAATAATCGGATAATTAAATTGTCGGTTCTTCCCAGTTTGAAACAAGCAGTATCAGAAATAATTCTAGGCACTAGCCTCGGTCAGGGACCAAGCCATTTGTTTCTTCCACGAAAACTGTTCGTCGATAATTATAGTAATCAACTGTATATAGTCGGTACCGGCAACCATCGTCTGCAAAAATTCATTATTACTGGCAGTGCGTCAACATCTAGTGGTGGTAAGGATTGCTTTAAGTTTGAGACAGTTTGAATTTTGAACTCCTCTAATCTCTGTGAGATGAAAATTGCTCTTTTGAAGGAAAAGGTAATACTGATCCATCTGAAATTTATCGTCGTTTTGTGTAAAATCCAACTTAATACAGACATTCGGCAGAGCAACTTTTTCTCGGTTACTTTCTGTTTACGGCTAAGTCGCAATTGGATTTTTGGGAGTACTAAACGATAGTTGTCAGTGGAACAAAAAGCTGTTGATATCGTCAGTCCATCCCACACATTTATCTCTTTGATGGAGCACGTCTTATAGTCTGAGACATATCGTTAGGGCCAGGCGCATTATCGAACTACTACTTTCTGTCCATCTCATAAACACTTTCCTTCCACAACATAGCGGGTGTCTGTTTTTCAGCGTCATCTGAACAAATCGAGTTGCTTATCTTTTCTAGAACAGCTAGCTGCTTTGAACAGTTTGCACCAACAGCTACAAAGAGTTCTCCCCATTGGACTCTGCTTTAAGGATATCACAGATCCCGCTGGTCGGCATTCTTCGGCTATTGCAAATCGTCGACTGGTTCTCTTCCTTAGAAACAAAGTTTCTGTTTGTTTTAGATTATCGTAAAATAACGTTCCAAGATATTCCTCATGCTTCCATGAACGATTTTAACTTAATAAAGCATCTGTACTATGATCTTTATTGGGATGAAGTTTGTTACGTCCAACAAAATCACGCAAAAAGAATCTGGTCAAATACGGGCTTTGACTGTGCATTTAAGTACGGTTCCTTGGTTGCTTACAACTCAGCAGGATACCCGATCACGATCAGTGTGAACTCACCAACCAGTAATAGAACAACAACCGCCACGTTTGATATTCTCTCATTTGAGACGAATTCTATCCAAGACGAACATCTTCAGTTAGAAATCCGAGGTTTACGTTCAAATGTAGAACTTTATCTAACAGTATCAAAACTAAAATTAAACCGATCACAGGCAATAGCACTTCATTGGTTCCGAATAGATACACTCATAATGAAACCCATCCCGAGCAGGCAATACAAGAGCTCAGAACGCGCCTATTTTGCGCTCACGTCTTTGAATTTGGTCTATCATAGATGATATACGAAATATACTTATAATATAGAGTATAGACAAGGATTTGAGCAACCAGTTGCGCGCCAAGTTATTGCTTGCTGTAATTAGACACTCAGAATCAGCTTGTTTGACAATTAGTAATAAACCGAAGAGTGGAAAATAAAGCGGAAGAGACCGAAAATGAACAGAAAAACATTTATTTCAGCTCAAAAAACCTTTTTTTTAATTTTTACTTTGTTGCACATTGTGAGAAATGCGGAAGGTAAACGTGAATCAACAAGGCTGAAATAAGTGTAAAAGTAGAAGCATTATGTTAAAATCAATTATTTCGTTTTTTCCATTAAATGTCTTTTGCGCTTGATTAAAATAATTTATATTTTTCTGTAATATATGTGGTTCTTTTATTCTCTCACTTGTGAGCATCAGAGATCTGCACCAGAGTTCCGTATGGACTCAAATTTTTGAGTTCAGTCCAATCCATGAACTAAAAAGATCTAGTCCAGTCCAGTCCCGATCCATGAAAAACAATTTTCTACGTCCAGTCCAGTCCAGTGTCCAATATATTGAGTAAATAGTCCAATGGACTTTGCAAACCATTAGAGAATTAGGTGCTTTTGCCGCACTAAAGGAAATTTGATGAAAATAAGGTGTATAAGCCGACTTCCCGATGAATCGGACAGCGGATTCCTTGTAATTCTATTCTGACTGCTTCTCTGATGTCAACACGATCTAAGTAATGTTTGCCTAAGTTTTGGTTCTCTCATTGGCACCTTTTTTCTTAACAACTGAGAGAACCAAAACTTAGACAGAAATCACATCAGAGAAGCAGTCAGAATAGAATTACAAGGAATCCGCTGTCCGATTCATCGGGAAAGTCTGCATATACACCTTATTTTCATCAAGTTTCCTTCAGTGCGTCAGAAGCACCTAATTCTCTAATGCTTCTGTATGCTCTAATAGAAAGTAAGTATTAAAAGTTATATAAAGGGTGACCTGGAAGCCCTTCTCATTCACTATTTTACTCGATATCTCGGTCAAGCTTGATCGACAAGTCTCAATCGTTTTTTAGAAGAAATTTGCTGCAGAATATCAGCTTTCTTTTCTTGTATCATAAGTTCGCTACAAACCTTTTTTTCTGCCACAAACAGAGATTTTAGTAAAAGTAAACAGAAAGGGAAAATTTGATTTCTTCGGCTTGGCACAAGAAACGAATCGGGGCTATTCGACTTTCTCTGTTCGGATGTAATCGAAAAACCATTTTGCTTCAACATAAACCAGATCTAAAGCCATAATATATCATTTGGACCAAACCACACAAATCTCCTCAAGTGCCTCAAAACTGCTGTTAGAAAATAATGATTTTGGGCAAAATCGAAGAAACAAAATCCTGCTACGATCGCTTGAGCCTATAAAGAGTCTTAAATATAGCTAATTGATAGAGGTTTCCAAGAACTACAAAATGGCCATTTTCTCTTTTTTCATATCGCAAAATATAAGGGACTGAAATTGAAAAACGTGTTCTTTCGGTTTGAAAGTAATCGATATTGAAGCTTTCCAGTATTTTCTTTATAATTTTTTTTCTTATAGTGTATAAAGAAATGTTCAATATGTTTTGTGTAGAGAACTGAATGCGGTTTCTTCTAAAAAAGGATTGAGACTTGTCGATCAAGCTGGATCGATATATTGAGTAAATAGTAAATGAGAAGGACTTCTGGGCCGCCTTTTAGTATTTATTTCTTTATTTATATCTATTTATATGTTATGTAAATATTTATATCTTTTAGTGTTTTCTAAATATTTACTTTTCATCTTCGTTTTTTAGCTTTCGAACAGTCTTCATCAGAAAAATGTACGGAGAGCTATAAAGAGAGATGTTATTTATACACGAAACTCGTACATATAAACGAACATATGAAATAGTCCGTCTGACGGTAGTTAAAATAAAACAAACACACGGTGATATTAACAGACAAGGAAACTTGCTATGTAGTATTCTACATGTATGTCAAGTTGTAAAGCATTCTTGCTATAGAATGCTATGTAGTACAAATTGATGTGCTAGTTTTTATCAGATACGTTCTGTAACAGCGCCATTTAACGATAAATGACTGACTGATAATGTACGGAAATATACATGTAAAGATACGAATAACGGACACATGGTTACATAGTACACAAACAGGGCTCCCAGATCTACAATAGAGGGTTTTTCTTTAGAGAATGTACCGCACACTTCCAGGACTAGTAGAACTCATCAAGGTGATCACAAAAATCATCTCAAAAACTTTCAAAATGAATAGTAGAGTAAACACTGACCAACAGTTTTCAATTTTCATCAACTTCCGCTCCCTCCCCTGGCTCACTGCAAATTCTACAGACCATCCTCATACCCAACGTTAATGTATAATTTAATTGAACATACAACATACATATACATTTTCTTCAATTTCGAAAAATAATACTTCCATATGAATATATGCGCTCCATCTCTCTATCCTTTACATCTTCTTCCCTTCTTCTTTTGGATGGGATAGTGTATTCTATTATTAAGTTTTTCTATTATTATTCATTCGGAGGAGCAGTTAAAAGTAGTCAGGAGTCAGTGTGATTAGTATCGTATCTTAGATCGTATTCCTGATTTCTTCTTCATCGTTTTATAGTCTTCGTTTCCTTGTGTTTTTTATTACTATTTTCTAAAATATATTCATTATCAAGTGGCATCATTCTAACAAGACAGGTGAGTACATTGCGCCTTCTCGTCTTTCCGTGGGAGCAGCAAGAGTCTAACATCAGAGGTCCGGGGGACGAAAGGTTAGCAATGCTTCTTCCGAGTGGCGGTGGATACGAACTCGTTAAATATGATTGTGAAGGATAAAACGGGCTTTTCACGCGTTTAAGTATAACGGGTTCTAATGCGTTAAGATCTTATCGATGCGTATATATGAGTTTAATACGAATAAGTTACTTTTAATGGGTTTGAACCAGTGTGAGTATCGAATGAGTTCAAATTCCTCTTAATAATTGATGCATTCAAACCCGATTACGCGTTGAACTATCAGATTTAGTTGCTTTGGACGTGTTTACTTTTCTATGACAAAAAATTACTCTTTCCGAGAAGTTATACTGCAGAAGACAC